GAATAAATGTCCAAAACTCTTGGTCGTAATCAAAGTAGAGGGCTGTGCGCATAAGTAACGCCTCGATACTGCTATATTTGATCAGGGCAATTTGGTCATTCTCGCATATGGTCTGGAAAGCGGACAGGCGTTTCATCACGTTCACAAATCGGCCCACAAACGACTCGAACTTGGTGGCAAAGAACTGGGCCACTTGTCGCCCGTCTCGGGCCACCAGCCGGGTCTCGGGTCGGGGCCGGTGCAGGTCGGCCGTGAGCTGAAACAGCTCGGTCAGTCGGCCCCACTCGACCTCGTTTAATGAGCTAATGTCGTTGACCGGCACCTGAGGTATGGGCAGCACTGAGAGCTCCATCTCTACCACTTTGTCGTACGTCTCGTCCGATATCTGATCTTTGGCTGTAATTGCGGTGATTTTAGTGCTGGAAGTGTTGGAACAGTTGGTGTCCGAGATATAGCATTCGATGTGCAATATGTTGGCAGCTATTGTCTCATCGTCGGTGATGTCTGTGCTGTCAAACGCGTCCAATAGGCTAATAGTGGTGTTGGTGTCCGCCGTGTCGGCCGGCGATGGTATGCCTGTCGTCGACAGGTCACTGGTTTTAGTGTCATTTTTATGATCGTTGGTTTCCCTCCACTTCCGGTTCTCCTCTATCTGTAGTCGACGTAACTCTTTCTCCTCGTCGTTGAGAATCCATTCCTTGTGTTAATTGTTTAAAAATTAATTGTTTTATTATTTTTAATAATTAATTAATTAACTATTTAGTTAGTTATAATAATTTGCTACAGGTATATAGTTTGTAAATAACTAGTTTGATTATTATTATTATTATTATTATTAGAATTGTAAGTGTTTTTAATTACTATTATAATGAAATGCAATTATTAAATATTCATTTAGTAATTTATAATAGTTATCTAGGTTATTAGTAAATTAATTGTCAAGTTGTTAATAACTAAATAATAATTGTTTTAATTGAAAACCTGTTTCATTCCGACGGCATAACACTTGCGGAGCCGACACTTGCGGCAGAATTTTCTGGTCACGACATTTACTTTGCATTTGTCCTCAAACGGACACTTATACTCCTGTTATAGTTAACACACAATTCAATTTAATTATGGTATTAATAAAAGTAATTATAATTTAAATAATGTAAAACACTTTACTTCTAATTTAGTGGCATTTCTTCTAAAAAACGCTTTACACGACTCACAAGAAATGGCACAAAAATTGTAACCTATTATGAAAGTTAATGTTAATTAATAATACTGTACATGGTTAAATCACTATTAATTAATAAATAAATAAGTTTAAATAAATTTTAAGGCCAACAAGATTGATTTTAAGTCAATCTAAATGATGTTAAATAAACATTATTATTGTATAAATAGGTTTACATCAAAATGTTATCATAAAATGAACAAAATTCTTGATTATTCCCAATTAATTAAAATTAATAAATTATGATATCATTCATACCGATAGCCTTTTCGCCGCAAACGGAGCATATTTTTGTGAACTTCTTTTTTGTAGGCATTGTTTGGGTTTTAATTTCAATATATAGCCAAACAATTATTATATATTTGTAACACCGTAATAATATTAATTGTAAATAATCTAAATGACACAGTTCAATCACTAATGGTAACGCCAAATGTATAAACACATAATATTGTTGCTAATAATAAGTTATTATTATTTTTCAATTTCACAGACATCAGTACAAATAATTTTAAAATACATTTCACACAAAAAATACTTTGAAATATTCAAACACTAATTAACATAGCGTTTAAAAATCAAACAATTCACTAATTATTAACACAAAAAATGAAATAATTGTCCAAACATTTCTATTATTAATGTAAACATTTAGCAGTAATTTCCCTTACAGTGTATTTCAACATAAATACTACATGTATGTTATTACATAAAAGTACGAATAAATTACATAGACTGAAAAGTGCAAAACCACCCTAATGCTTATTCTCACTTAAGTCAGTGCTGTAGTATAAAGTACTGTGTTATTCTGCGCTGCTAATACTGGTTAGCACAAAATGTGCATGTGCGTTAGATATCTACAGTCCTGATACTATTAAATACAGTAACTGTACAGTAAATTCAGTGCCATTATTAATTACTATCAGAGTATTTTCAATGCTATTGCAGTGCAACTAACTTTTGAAACTTGTTTCTAGTATTATTTTTTATTGGTTTGTTATTTTATGTACTTTTAAATTTATATTATTTATAATGAACCTGTTGTACCAATTATACCGTAAATTTATAATAATTATTGCCAATTTGTATTAATCTTGACTTAATTTTAACTATATTAATACTTAACCTGATAATTCTAGGCGTAATGGTTAGTGTTAATCACTAATGAATCTAATTTTATCACATTCAATTGGTACGGAGCATAATTAAACTCTTTAGTGCATAACAACTAATTTAATTTAAATAGAATTACCCATATAAAAGAAATATACTTTTACAATAAATAAATATTATAATAGATAATTATGATGCATATTACAAAATAAAATTTGCTATTACTTAATGCATTATTAATACAAAGAAAATGTCAATTGTATAATGGATTTTATTATTCTTACAGTTTTACTGGCCTTGGTAGTAAAATAACATGACATGTATGTAAAAATAAAATTATTACAATGTTTATTTGTCCTATTTATAGCAAATATGAATTTTTGTTTTTACTCTATGACATTTTGTTTGTTTCAAATAAAACATTTAGTATTCAGTTATGGAGATGATAATTAACTTTGTATTCATTTTATACACCATGATTTATTAATTTTATTTACATGCATAATGTAACATTATTAATGTTATTACATTCATCTGTGCAATTTAAAGTGCACATGAACATTCAAGTGAACATTTTACCTAGATCACACGACCGAAGTAATTTTAGTATTTACACTCAATATTTGCTAAAATATTTATGACAATTATAAAATATAAATCTTAAGAGTTAATGTAAATATAAATATTATCTACAAATATTTATTGTACATTAAATTCTGTACACTAAATATGCTAATTTATCAAAAACACCACATGATTACTTTTTATACAAAAGTTATACAAACAATTGTCTTTTTTAATGATACTTTAAATATAAACAAAATTAATAATAACTATGAAAATCACAAAAAAATAAATCACTATTTCATTGAGTAATCGCTTCTACCCTGAGCTCAGGGGCTGGTATGGCATCGATGGTCGGTATGTCAAACACTTCGCGCATAATGGGCCCGAAGTCCATGGGATTGTCGGTCGTCTCCCTGTAATTCAATTTATGAATTTCATCCAATTTTTGCAAATATTCTAATAGATTCAGAATCCGCAAGAATTTGGCCTTTGTTTCGCATTCCGACGGGTATTTCAGCCGTAAATAACGTTGAAGTAAATACATATAGATCTGTTGTTGAACTCTACCATGGTAATCATAAGAATACACATTGAGATATATGATTAGATAAGCTTGGTTAATTTGTCACACGTGTTTACGGTGTGGTTCACTCACTTGATGTACTCCTTATCGATAATGTTTGGTCGCTCGGGATTGAACAGTATTATCGGCATTAACTGTGGGCCAAAATAATGTGATTATATGTTTGAAAAGTAGTGTAATTTTTTATATTAATTACCAAATCTATAATAAAAGGGTCGGAATCCCATTCGCTGCCAAATTTGTGTAAAAATGTCCTAAAATATGAATAACAGTCCCGTTTGACTGATTTTAATAAATCCAGTTTAAGTATTATTGAATTCTCTTCGTCCTGTGTTTTTAGATACAAACATACATTCAATTAGTTTTATAAAGTAATTAATATACAAAATAAAAATTAACATGTTTACACAATTATAAAATAAACAAATAATTACCATGATAAAAGTCCAGTACTCGTTCTCGTAATTAAAATTAATGGCTGTACGCATAAGGAGTATCTCGAGGCTAGAATATTTGACCAGGGCGATCTTATCATTCTCGCAGAGGCACTGAAACGCGGCCAACTGTTTGGTTGTGTCCACGAGGTGTTGGACATAGATATCAAACTTTGAGACAAAAAACTTGATCACTTCGTCGATGGTTTCGGCCACCAGTTTATTGTCGGGCAAACGCTTCCAATTGAGCGCCGCCTGAACTTTGAACAACTCGGCCATTCGTGTGCGCTCGGCCTCATTCAGCGCCGTACAGTTGTCCAGCGGCTTAGGTATGGGCAGTACAGCCAACTCCAGTTCCACCGCCTTCTGGTACGTGCGGTCAGAGATCTCGTCGCCGTCGGCCGACTCGCCCGCTGAACAGCCGGTGCCGTCGCCGCCGCAACTGTCGGTCATTATTGTGGTCATCGTATCGACGGTCATATCATCGGCGCTGTTGTTGTCATTAGGGGTCAGATATCGCTCGATATCCATAATATTTGTGATGATGTCGTCGTCACTGATAATTGTGTTGGAATTGGTGTCAAAGAGATCGGCAGTTGTGTCACCGCTGGTCGATGTTTGCGGCGGCGATAGACTGCCCGCCGGCCGCTGTTTCGGGTGCTTTGTTTTGGTGGCCTTTTTGTCGGTAATCTCTTTGATCTTTCGGTTCTCTTCGATCTTATTCTTCCGCAACTCTTTCTCCTCGTCATTGAGAATCCATTCCTTTGTGTTATTCATTGAAATTGTGGTCAATATTCATATGTTTAGTGATATTTAGTTATATTGTGTTTGTTTTAGATATTGAAAACTTGTTAAATTAATTATTTTTACTTTTATAATGAAATGGAATTATTAAATATTCATTTAGTAATTAATTAGTTATCTAAATTATTAGTAAATTAATTGTCAAGTTGTTAATAACTATAAATAATTGTTTTAATTGAAAACCTGTTTCATTCCGACGGCATAACACTTGCGGAGCCGACACTTGCGGCAGAATTTTCTGGTCACGACATTTACTTTGCATTTGTCCTCAAACGGACACTTATACTCCTGTTATGGTTAACACACAATTCAATTATATATTATGTAAATTATATTTTGTTTTATAAAATTTATAAAATAATTAAAACAACAAATATTTACATCTAATTTGGTTGCATTCCTCCGGAAGAAGGCTTTACACGATTCACAAGATATGGCACAAAAATTATATCCTATTATCATATAAAATAAATAATTAGTTAATAATAATAATAATAATTTTCAATAAAAAATAAAATATTGATTTTAGTACTAAAAGGACGGCTCAAAAGGGAAATCACATGAATATTGTTATTAGTACTAAAAGTTTTAGATAAACAGCGATATGAATAGGAAATAACAGTACATTTATTATATAATTTATATTTATTTATTGTCAAAATTGTAACATTCATTCATACCGATAGCCTTTTCGCCACAAATTGAGCAAATTTTTGTAAACTTTTTTGACGGCATTATTATAATATGTGGACTAAAACACAATCCATTAAACAATAATCTAAACACTTTCTGTCCATTAAATCAGTTATCATTAGAAATATTATTATGAAATACTAGTGATAATAACCAATGGATACAAACATCACTCTAAACACCAGTCAATTAAAACACTGTTTATAGTATAATAAACATTAAATATTGTATTGAATGCATACATGTGTTGTAAAATGTCTATATACAGTATTGTATGGGAATTAAGTATCTGTCCCGACATTCAACCAATATCCTTGAAAATATTACAACTTGTTCAAATATAATTACTACCTTAAGCATTCAATATAAAACTTTTTTAAATGATCCGACATGTTTTTCGTACATTTATTTTATTAATGCAAACTTCAATTAATTAGATTTTGTACCAAAATGTGGTATAACTTAGCATGATTAGTTATTATTGTAGGTACACATCTAATAAGCACAGAATCATATCGTGTATATCAATGGTGTGTTCACTATATTATCCAATGGGCTGTTATATAATGTAATAACTTGTTTATTAACAGCAATAGCTGTGAAATCAATGTTGAGGTTTAATGTCTGCAAACATCACATTTCAATACAGACTTTCAATCAGTTTTATTAACAGATAATAACAGCAAATAAATTGATAAAAGGGAGAGTCATATGCGCTGTAAGGATACGAGAGATTATTATTTATTTATTGCATGTTTTCCTTTATATTAACACATTTTCAACTTTAAATTAAATACTTTTTAATTTTATATTTATAATAAACCTTAAATATAGCTATTTTATTAGTAAATAATATAATTATATTTATTAAATAAAATTTTATTTAACTAAAGATTTCATGAAAAGAATGTAAAAACAGATACCGAGAAATTTAAAAATCAGAAAAAGTTTGTATTGAAAATGCTATCCATT